TGCACCTTGCCGAAGGAAAAGTATTTTTTCACCAGAAAATCCGATTTTATTTTCTCGATTGGCTAAGTTTCTTTATAATAAGCAAATAAGTGTAAAATTTTTTTTCATCCATATTTTCGTAAAAATTTATGAATTAATTTTGGTGGTAATCGTACTGATTAGTTTGTGTTAAAGATAGGCTGGCCCATTTCATTTTAGTTTTTTTGTTTTTGAAGTATTGTTTTAAAGTTTTTGATGAAATTTTGTATGATAATTGAGTTTATGGTCTTAACGAACACTCTAAAATATCAAAAGTCTACGAAAAGTGCTTCGATTAAAAAAATTCATCAAATTGTGGAAAAATTTATATAAAAAAAATAGCAAAATCTAAAATCTTATTGATTAAGGCAGTGGTTTCCTTTTTATATTACTTCCCCCCAGTTTTATAAAAAAAATGTTGCGCCACCCTTATTTTTTTAACGATTTAATTTTATAAATAATCAACTGATATTATAATTATTTTTTTTTAATTCAATTCAAACAGTTTGGTTTATTTTCGAAAATAGTATTTTGAAACCAGCTGTACTCCTCCCAAGTTTTTCGTCCACTTTTTAGGACACAATTTTGAATCGATTTTAAAAATTCAAAAACTGTTCGAAAGATATTGGTTGGGATTTGCAATGATTAGTCTCTTTGGTAATGATCGGTTTTGTATAACGATAGATTTTGTAGCCTGAAATAACATACTAAAATATTAGAGACTTACGATAAGCGGTTGAATTTAATCAGATTCTAATTTAATTAGAATCTAGTCGATTCTAATCAGAATAATAGAAATATTTACAGCTGAAGCATCTGTACGTTCTGTGGTGTTTCGTTGGTAGTTACTGTCCACACTTAATAAAATACGTTTTTAACCCTTTGCACTCGCTAATTCCGGGATTTTTATAAATTTTACCGGCATCCGAGTGGGAAGGGATAAAGAAGAAGAAAGGGAAAGGGAGCCTGAAATGGATAAAATGAAATGTGTTAAACAAATTAATTTAATTTATACAATTACAGATATTATTAAAATAAGTAAAGTTTTAAAGATATTAATTGAAATCGTTTTTATTTTTGAAAGCAAAATCTCTATTTTGGAAATAAACAGTTGAACAGTTTATCTAAATATGTATCTAATTTATTGTTGATAAAGTCGATTATTTACACATATCTGGAAGTTCATGCAAGTTGCCTTAAGGCAAAATGCTACTTGCAACTAGTTCACTTTTGTCATTTATGAAACAAAAGAGAGAAGTGTTAATTTTTAATTCTGCATGTTGAGGACCATTAAACCATTTTGTTTAACACGTACAGAAGTACAGATTACAGTTTAAGTGAAAATATTATATTCAATATTGTTTAGGTACGTATTCATCTTATTATACTTTATTTTATTTATTATACTTTCCTTATCTATGTTATTATTAACTTCCCGTAGGGCAAGTTATAGTAATCGCAAAAAAATCGAAAATGAGAATTTTTATGTATCTTTACGTTTCAGAGGTTTCTGAACATTTTGGCATACCTTAGAAAAAATGGATGTATGTGTGTGTGTGTGTATGTACGTGTGTGTATGTATGTGCGGATACAAATTTTTGTCGACGATTTCGGGAACACGGATCAATCGATTTGAATAATTCAGAAAGCATTCGATTCGTATTGATGAGGAGACGTGCTGATTAGTTTTTGGCGAAGGCAGGTCCAGCCGTTCCAAAGATACGGGGCAAAAAGTGCCGAAAACGGTAACTCAGTTTTTAAGAGAACGGAGCGTCCGATTTTAATAATTCAAAAAACATTTGACTTTTATTGACAAGATGAAGAATTGATCAAATTTTCATGAGGGCAGGTCTAACGGTTTCGGAAATCTAACAAAAAAAGTAAAAAAAATGCCATTTGGCGGTCAAAAATGATCATTAGACATATGCACATCAAATTATCAGATATTTTATAGAGATTTTAACAATAAGTATAAATTTTGTTTGCGTTTCTATGGGTTCCGTACCAATGTTTATTCGTTAGACGGCGACGGGGCGCTTACGCGCTTTAACATTTTGTCTCTATGCAGTTAAAGTAGTACGATTGCTTTGAAAAAAAGTTCAGATCTTCCAAAATATGCCAAAATAAAGAAAACATTATTTTTTCAAAAAAAAATTTAAAAAAAATATTTTTTTTTTAATTTTTTTTTGGAAAAATTTTTTTTTTTTTCAAAAAAAAGTAATTTTTTGTCCAATTTATAGTTTCTCAAAAATCTTATTTTTTCGAAGTAAATTTTTTTTTTAAATGACAATCTTTTTTAAAAAAATAATTTTTGGTACGGGAAGTTCCAGCAATTTGCCTTAAGGCACGATGCCTTAATTGCCTTAAGACAGAATTCCACTTACAGCTAGTATATATTATTACAATTTGTATATTTAGTACGATCTGAACTCATGTCTATTTTATTTGCTAAAAAATCTTATATGAAACAGTGCTGCCCTATATGACTCAAACTAGAACGCCATTTGTCGAAGCTCGCAACCGCATTCGCAAATCTTGCAAATGGTTTCAAATCTAGTAGTCAAAAAGTGCCAAATATTTTACGTAGATTTGATTTAGATTTTGTTTTTCATTTGTTTATACATAGCTAAATTTTATTACGTTTGCGTTTCAATAATTACACCCACCTTAAATTCTTTTAGAAACAATATTAGTATGTTTATATAATTATAAATTGTTTGCTTTGTTTAGATTAACCTAACTTACCCGGTTCACATGGTTAGACGAAGTTGAATTCCTTACAAGTTCTGGGAGTCTTAAAAATGGCTTCAAAATTGAGACCCTGGTAAGCATTGCTTTTTTTTCTCTATTTGTAATATGTGAGCTTATTAAACTATAAATACGATAAATATATACTTACCTTAGTAGCTTTAAACGTATATTCATATACATATATAATTTATATTATGTATTATGTATATAGTATTATGCATGCAAAGATTATTATAATTTCCTAAGAATATATCTTGGAAAAATGAGAAAGATTCTTGCACTATTTATTAAATAATATTGAAGTTGCAAACTTTTCGAGGCTATTTCTATTGTCTCATCATTAGTGTAAAATATATATACTTACTAAATATATATATACTTATTATATATATATATATATATATATATATATATATATATATATATACTTACTAAACTTACCTTAGTAGCTTTAAATGTGTATTCATATACATGTATAATTTATATTGTATAAATCAAAAGAATTATGCATGCAAAGAATATTATAAGTTTAAAAGAATATATCTTTGGAAATATGAGAAATATTTTTGCACTATTTATTAATTAATATTGAAGTTGCAAATTTCTCAAGACTATTTCTTACTAATATGTATACTTACCTTAGCTTTAAATGTGTATTCATATACATATATAATTTATATTGTATTGATTGTTTGATTGTATAAATCAAAAGTTTTATGCATGCAAAGAATATTATAATTTCCTAAGAATATTTCTTGGAAATATGAGAAATATTTTTGCACTATTTATTAAATAATATTGAAGTTGCAAATTTCTCGAGATTATTTCTATTATTGTCTCACCAATAGTATGAATATATATATATATATTATATATATATATATATATATAATATATATATATTATATATATATATACTTACTAAATATATATACTTACTTACTAATATGTATATTCACCTTAGCTGCTTTAAAGCTGTATTCATATACATATATAATGTATATTGTATAAATCAAAAGTTTTATGCATGCAAAGAATATTATAATTTTCTAAGAATATATTTTTGGAAATATGAGAGATGTTCTTGCACTATTTATTAAATAATATTTAAGATGCAAACTTTTCGAGACAATTTCTATTGTCTCATCATTAGTGTAAATATATACACTTACTAAATATATTTACTTACTTACCTGAGAAATATTCTTGCACTATTTATTAAATAATATTGAAGTTGCAAACTTTTTGAGACTATTTCTATTGTCTCATCATTAGTGTAAATATATATACTTACTAAATATATTTATTTACTTACTGATATGTATACTTACCTGAGAAATATTTTTGCACTATTTATTAAATAATATTAAAGTTGCAAGCTTTTCGAGACTATTTCTATTGTCTCATCATTAGTGTAAATATATATACTTACTAAATATATTTACTTACTTACTAATATGTATACTTACCTGAGAAATATTCTTGCACTATTTATTAATTAATATTGAAGTTGCAAACTTTTCGAGACTATTTTTATTGTCTCATCATTAGTGTAAATATGTATACTTACTAAATATATTTACTTACTTACTAATATGTATACTTACCTGAGAAATATTCTTGCACTATTTATTAAATAATATTGAAGTTGTAAACTTTTCGAGACTATTTTTATTGTCTCATCATCAGTGTAAATATATATATACTTACTAAATATATTTACTTACTTACTAATATGTATACTTACCTGAGAAATATTCTTGCACTATTTATTAAAATATTGAAGTTGCAAACTTTTCGAGACTATTTTTATTGTCTCATCATTAGTGTAAATATATATACTTACTAAATATATTTACTTACTTACTAATATGTATACTTACCTGAGAAATATTCTTGCACTATTTATTAAATAATATTGAAGTTGCAAACTTTTCAAGACTATTTCTATATATCATAAGTATAAATATATTACTTAAACAGTTAGATACAATGTTTGAAGAACACATGACCAAATAACAATAAACAAAGAAATGAAGTTATTGTAGAAATCTAGTGTATTCTAGGAGTCTAGTGTATTCATATTCACCTAATTATTTGTTCCACTCATCTTACAAAAAGTGTTAAATAGCCATTCATTACCAGTTGTTTATATTTTCAGTCGAAGCTTCAATCGCTTTGCATTATAACGACTGGTGGAGTGTCTTTCATGGCATTTCTGAGTATCTATAATGAGAACGAAAACTTTTACAACAAAATACTAATGCCTATAGCTCATTCATTTAGCCCAGAAACATCGCACAAATTAGCTATCTTAGCTAATAAATATAAACTAATCCCAAGGACTAAGTATGTTGATCCTGATATTATTGTAAGTAAAATTATATATTTAATTTAGTATAATAATGCTATAAAATTATGAAATTTTATCTTTCACTTAAAAATTAAAAAGAGAAACAGTATGAATATTTCATATCAATAACATAGGAAAAGTATGTTACATTTGATTGTTAACTTCAAGTTACAAGTTTATATATTATGTATAATAATGGATACTATATGTGAATAATAAGTTAGACTCAAATCTTAAAAAACTTGATTGACTTATTATATATATTTATTAATAGTTTGTTTTTTTCTGTATTTTAGAAAACTAATTTTTGGGAATGAGTCTGCAAAATCCGATTGGCATTGCTGCAGGTTTTGACAAACAAGGCGAAGGTGTGGAATCGCTTCATGATATAGGTTTTGGATTTGTTGAAGTTGGTTCTGTTACACCAGAACCGCAACAAGGAAACCCCAAGCCTAGAGTTTTCAGATTACCTGAAAATCTGGCTATAATTAATAGGTAATTTGCTGCATTAAATAAAAAGAATATTATTATTATTTATTCTTTATGTATCCTCTAAAGTCAAAACATAGTGATTAATTAGATTTATCTATTTGTTAATCAAAAGTAAATGAAATAATACAATTAAACATAGTTTAAACCATGATAGGTTTTAATTATTGCCCTTAGATATGGCTTCAACAGCGATGGTCATGACAAAGTATTGATGAGACTCGAAAAACTGAAAAGTAATCCACATTTTAAAGGCGTGGTAGGAGTGAATTTAGGAAAAAACAAAACTTCTGATGATCCCATATCTGATTATGTAAAAGGAATAGAGAAGTTTGGTCATGTTGCTGACTACTTAGTAATCAATATAAGTAGTCCAAATACACCCGGCCTTCGCACGATGCAGCACAGAGATATATTAGGTCATCTTCTAGCTACTTTAGTAAAAGTACGTGATAATTTGGAATGTGCTAACAAGCCACCTTTGTTGCTAAAATTAGCACCTGATTTATCGACTAAGGAGAGAAAGGACATTGCTAATATTCTGAATAGAAAAGATTGTAAGGTGTGTAATATTTAATTTATATAAATTTGTATTTAACAAAGTAAATATTTTATCCTGATATTAAGTATTTTAGAAAAGTAGATTTAGATACATATTTTAAAAACAAGAAAAAATCATTTATGTTTATTGAATTCAATGCATAACTATAAGAGTTGTTTTTATGATCATAATTTTATCTTCTAGATTGATGGTCTAATTATATCAAATACGACTGTAGAGCGAGACATTTTGAATCCAAGTGATCCTCACACACAAGAAGTTGGTGGTCTAAGTGGCCAGCCTTTATCTGATATGTCAACTACAATGATTAAAGAAATGTATAGATTAACAAATGGCAAGTATCCAATTATTGGAGTTGGAGGAATATTTAGTGGCAAAGATGCCTATGAAAAGATATTGGCTGGGGCAAGTGTTGTTCAGCTGTACACATCATTTGCTTATCACGGACCACCTCGAATAAGGAAAATAAAACAGGAGTTAAGTGATTTACTGGCACAGAACGGATATAAGTCTATTAAAGATGCGGTCGGTCGCAAGTGATGATGATCCCAACTATTTATACTAATCTGTGATAAATTAATTGATAAACAAAGATTTTTATTCTATTTAAATATGTATTCAGATCAGAACACGCTGTTATTTAAAAGTATTTGACTCTGTATAAGAAACTAGAGGACAATTTTAAAAAGTTTTCAAAATTATCTGTGAAGATTTGTGCCTTTGTATGTATTCTTTTTTATTGGGAGATAAAGTTAAATTTGTTGCGTTATTATTTTTACATGTGTTAATTCAAGTGTATTAGTTTTAAATGTACTAGGAATGCCTATTGTTCAGCTCTGTTTCATTTTCCTATTCAAATACAATACAGAGTACATTATTATGCGGCTTTTGCTCAAATATCCTGTTGGTGATAATTAATGAATCCATCAGGAGCACCATAGTCATGGTTGTATCAGTTATGCAATATGTTCTGCTATCTTATTCTTTAAAAGTGGAATTTGAATTCACTTTGTTAAAGTATACCAAGTGAATATAATTAACAGATACGGTAGATGAAAATCTATTAAAAAAACTGCAGAAAAAAAGAAATTAAAGAACTATGCTGAATTTTTCTACATGTGCATTCTTTTTTTAGTTTATTTCATTAATAACATATTGAAGTTTACTATAAAGTAATAATGTGGTATTTTATATTTATGTGAAAATGTTTCAAACTTATTTTCCTAATTTGTGTAAAAGCATTCTGAAAAGTGTTGAGT